TCCCTCCTTTCGCTCCCCCCCCCCCCCCCCCCCCCCCTTCAATGTGTGCATGTACATAGAAAGAAGAGCAGATTGTCTGAGAAGGTAGGCCAAGTGGAAAGACGGTGATATCAATCAAAGAGTACAGATCTTCTCATTCTTACATCTTCTGCTACTTGTCAAGCTGTCCTAAGAGTGAAAATGTTTTGTTTTCAAGGTGGCCCTGAGCCCTACATTGAAATATTTGAACAACCCAGGCAAAGGGGCATGCGTTTCCGATACAAATGTGAGGGAAGATCAGCAGGCAGCATTCCCGGAGAACACAGTACTGAAAACAATAAGACATTCCCTTCCATACAGGTAAATAACTGCTTTTTTACATTAATTACTATTGCTCAAAGTAACATTGTGCTGTAGCTATGTGTTGGACTCATTGCAGTAAATAAAATACTTTTCTTTTCATGTTTTGTTATTCTTTCCTTGGCATGCAAATGTTGTTGCAACACAGAGGAAAAAGAGTTCCTTGCTTCTAGTCATTAAAGATTTTGTTTCAAATGTACAACAAAAGAAGTTGTAGAGGTAGTTAGCAAAGTGCTAGTAGAGAGGGAAGTTACTTGTCTGGGAACGATTCATTGTTAGCTTTTTCTGTATGCATATTTGTTCTGGTTTCTTAGTTATATGACTTGGGTTAGTTTTTACTATGTGAACTGCAGTATGAATTTTGGGAGAGTTTGCGTACAAAATCTGAAAGGGCTTTGAAAAGCTGCTGGGCACAACATGAAAGATGCTTTGTGCAAGTGAGCAAAGTATGAAAGTGACTTGCAGCCAGTGATTTGGTGATTAGGCTCTGCAAAAAAACCTACCATAAAGTATGTGAAGTCAGAAGGGGATACAGAATTTAAAAATGAGCTGGAAGGGGGGGAATCATGTGGTCAGAGCACCTGCAGTGAAGACGTGTTGGGTGGTTGCATTATGGATAGGTTGGGAAATCCAGAATAAAGGGATTCAGAGTAGCCCTAGAAGCTGTGATCAAAGCAAGGACAAAGATAGATACAGTAGAGGTGAAATGGGAGCACTTTAACAGTAGCATTCATATGTGGGACAAGGGAATGTGTCAGAGACCCTGGACAGGTAGGGCTAGGGAGAATTTCTGCTCTCCTCTTTGAAGTTTAAGTTGCTAGTGTTTCCTTGACCTCTTCCAATTTGGAGAACATCTTTCAGAGATGGGATTATAAAAGAAAGCTCAAATATATATGGTAAGTTAGGAGTACTTGCTATCTTGAAGTATGTTACATTCCCCAGGAACAGACAATGTGTATCTGTGTTTGTTGTGTGTACAAGTATAAAAAAAGTTGAGTTTCTGGAATCACAGCAAAAAAATAGCAGATACAGAGAATGTGGAATCTGAAAAAAATGTGGTGGTTTAGGCTGAATTCTTTAAGAAGAGGGAGAGTCTGAGAAAGATAGCATTGGCAGTCATATGTTGAGCAGCAGAGCATGAAGCATATAGCAAGTGTGGAAGACACATAAAGCATAAGCAACTGTGGAAGCTGCTCTAGCCCTGAAGCCAAAGTTACTAAAGGAAGAAACAATCAAGAAAGCTTTTGCCTTGACTATCACAGTGCCAGATTTGGTTAAGGAATACAGGAAACTGAGATCTTTCCAGATTGATTTTTTTTTTTTTTTTTCTTCTTGTGCTCTACAAATTGAACAAGGAACTAGCAGGCTGCTGACAAGAGTAAACACTTTCACACTCTCAGCCGAAGGCTGTGTCAGGGCACAAGTTGAACTGACAGTATAAACCCTTGGCTCCTCTTAAGCTGGGAATGTGCTGCACATAAAGGCCTGCCAGAATTCAAAGGGAAGATGGGATGTGGTAGGTCACCACACAGTCCTGGCCACAGTTTATTTTTTAAAGGTGACTGTTGATGACAGAGCTGATTATTACCGATAGCAGGTGATTTCTAGGTGAATTCCTGCCTCCCTAAAGCCCGTAGGAGGCTTTGGTGCTGATTAGCTGCTAGGGGAGTCCCCTCTTGAGATGGAAACATCAATGAGGATGAGAACAGAGAGGCCAGGAAGAGATTAAATTTTGTGGTGTGGTTGAGATGAAGACCATCAAGAAGGAACTGGAGCATCAAAAGTGGCTAGATCAGGCTTCAAGTTCAAGGGACTGAGTTTGAAATGAGGGAGAAATTATGTAATAGTTGAAGAAGGTGAAGGAGTGGTAGAAGTTTTAAGGGTAAAAAGTAACAGTGGCTTGTATGAAGGTTAAAAAAGAGCCAGATTGGAGACTGCAGAAGCTAACAGATGATGGAAGCTAGAAGAGCACAGTCAAATCAAAGGTTGAGGTGTCAGCCTCAAGGACATATTATCAAAGGATTTTATCAAAGGATATAATGATGGATCCTTGGAGTACTGAGAGGAAGAAGGAAAGGGCTGAAGGAGGAGAGGAACAGTTAGTTATAGGGCAGGGGAAGTGGAGGAGGAGAGCTCACCTCTGCACAGATGTGTGCCTGAGCAAGTCTTGTACTTGCTTTCAAGTTGTTATGCTTCAAACAATTTAGGCCAAACTGTTTTTCTTTCTTTTTTTTTTTTTTTTTTTTTTTTTTTTTTTTTCCCCCCCCTACCTTTCCCCCCACCAACCTTTGTTA